ATTTTAAAACTGTAAAATCTTTTAAATTTGTACACTTGCTGAATCACTGTTATATTAAAACACATCAGGTTCAAAGATGACCCAGTGTGTGCAAACTGTTTAGACTATGGCCATAGAAAAATCCACTCATGCACCCTAGACCATAGTGAAATCACACTGTGTGCACACTTGCAGTTTTCCGCCAGCCACTTGATACATATTTTCAGACTGAACTATTAGCAACTGGTAACAGGGAAGGAAATTGATTATCTTAGATAATAAATAATGAGAACAGAACTATAAAAGGCAAAACTGAGTAAATTTTCGTACCCAGACAGGGCAAAATGAAGTACAAATTCAGGGAAAATGTAAAGTTGTGGAAATGTAAAATCCATTAAAAAAATGTAAAAGGTAAAGTTGTTCCCGTGCTTAACAAATTAAGCACTATGCTATGAAGGTGTATGGGGGAGTGGATGTATAGATCCACATTTCCTTGACCTTGGCACTAGCTGGAGGTGAGTGGTCAGCTTCACGCATCAGTCACTTTATTTCCAGGAAAAAAAACCCTGTACCCATTGGATAGGAGGTTGGGTGGACCCCAGGGCTGGTCTGGATGACCTGGAGAAGAGAAAATTTTAGACCCTACTGGGACATGAACTCTGGTGCTGACAATAAGAGATTCTTTTTAACAACTTCAGGTCTTCCTACAAGCAACTCCAAGCCATCCAAAACATAAAGAGGAAACAGGATGAAAAATTGTTATAAACCTCTCACATGGGGAAAGTTGATCAGAAACATGCTACAGGGACACTGCCCTTTTAGAAAAAACATAAGTAACCCCAAGTACTTCAGCATTTTCTTTTGGGGGAAAGAAGCAACAAGAGGTCAACCCTACAGGTGAGACTAGACTGGAAGAACCAATCACAACACAGTTGGATGTTTTACATGTTAATATGATTAATTTAAGGCGAGTTTTTGAGTCTTTAATAGACCAAAAAGTCGCATCGGGAGCTCCATGGATAGTGAGAATAGACACCTGACACTCTAATTTGGATAGTGGTCTTGAGGACTGCTCCTTCCATAGTTTTCAGCAGCCTTCTGTCAAATTCATATACCATCAGTAATCTTTTAGAAATCACTGTGAACAGAAAAAACATCCAGTTACCTCCAGAACTACAATAATGAACTAAAAGTTCTATACACACATGTGTGAAGATACTGTAAAGCAGGCCCAATTGTAACAAGTAAAATGTATTTAAGTTCATAATAGTGAAAACTGTGTGAAACATTATCACAGTGAACTAAATTCCCCTTTGGTACCACCATACCTGTCCCATGTTATACATGGTCAATCCATTTCCCATTTCCACCTTACATCTATAGATACAACCCTGTAATCAAGATCAAACCCTGAAACAAAACCTATCATCCCATTAACCTTTAAACGACTAAAGACAACGTATGTCGTCGCAAAAATAAAGGCAGCGGTACGAATGACGGCATATGTCGTCGCGCAGTCCACGCGTGCGGCCGGCTTTTTAAAATCTAATTTTAAGTTATAAATTCTTTTTCTACTTACATGATTTTTGGTCACCAGCTTTATAAGTTGTTTCTCTACCCACCTGCGTCGTCTAACAGACTGTTGGCTTCGTGTGGAAATCTTGGAAACAACTGGAAATCCAGTGTCCGACGTCGCACTTCACGCAATTTGTCCGGACGGTTTTTCATTTCCCACGCGAAAAGCACACACGACACCTCAATTGCGAAGTAGAGGAAGTCGGCCAGTGATGTGGTTTGGCCTTCTATAATCGAGATATCTCCGATAAAACGGCAGGGGTTCGACTCCCGGTCGCACAGTCCGCGCGTGATGACGTTACATAAATTACATTTTTAAAGTAGTAAATAATGTTGTACTTACATTATTTTTGTCCACCATCTGCATGAAGCGTCTGTCTTCCCACCTGCGTCATCTGCCGGAATGTTGCCTTCGTGTGGAATTCTCAAAAAAATCCGGAAATGCAGAGTCCGATTTCGCACTTCACGCACTTTGTCCGGACAGTCTTTCGTTTCCCACGCGAAAAGCACACACGACACCTCAATTGCGAAGTAGAGCAAGTCGGCCAGTGATGTGGTTTGGCCTTCTATAATCGTGATATCTCCCATAAAACGGCAGGGGTTCGACCCCTGGCCGTTGATGGCGAGGTGGACCCCTTCCAGCATGTTCTGCACAAGAGCGAGACGAAATTCTCTGTGTGACAACAGGATGTAACTGTTCAGATCAAGGAGATGGAAAAATAGCTTATTTGTCCATTTCCAGGTTCGACAACAGATGCTATAACTGTTTGCCACAGTTTGCCCACAGCTCCACCTGAAAAATTATTCACACTCCTCGTGCCACGCTGGTGTGGTGGTCCCCAGGTTGCCGATGAAGATGATAGGGTCTCCTTCGAAATAACTTTCTGATTCGCTACATTCAACATCACTCTCAGAATTGTCGGTACAGGAATCTGTACCCAGTCGTTGATGACCTGAAACAGGCTAGAATATTCCACACGACACGACGATAAAACTTTGAAAACCTCCGGCTGAACACTTCCAGGAACGAAGCTCTATTACTCGCTCTGTTGATACTGAAACGCATGCATAAAGAATGCTAGCCTTGAATGATATAAAACAGTAAACATAAAGTGTAGCAGCTCGATAAACCACACTGAGATTGTTTCACTCGCCCGTATCTCTTCATTCCACAAAGACTACGTCATTTAGACCCTGATAAACTCTAGACGCTGTAAACACTGCATCTGCTGCATCCGCTGTGTTGCCAAGTGTAGTCACCTTGCATTGAAACGTATCGAGAACGTATGAATTCTTGTACAGGAAAAAAAATTGGGAAATTTCTTCTTTGGAGTCAGTGCAAAAATTTTAACATGTTTTATACAATCTGTAAATTACAATATCTGATTCTATATTCTTTCGAGAAAAAAACAGCGTTTATTTCGTTCGTTTATCACAGAAATTGCAGAAATAGGAGCAAATTTAGTAAGTGACTACAGTTTTTATGGATTTCTAATCGCGGGTATTTAAATTTATTCCGTACGGCTGCCTTTACCGGAATTTAAATGCCCGTAGGATAAAGGTTAAGGGCCCCTTATCCACCACTACACACTAGCTGTAGACACTCATACCACCAAAGCTGTATAGCATAACCAATGCCTGTGTGATACAACAATCACTGAAGGGGCACAGACTCCAGTATTCCAGTTAAATGGGCCCGGCATAAAGTAACATTCCTCAACACAATTCTTCTCAGTATATAGTTTTTATGTATAAAGAACATTAAGAAACTGACAGTGACTGCATGTTTGCACTGGGCTGCACTGTCTTGTATCCTGGTGATGGGACAGAGTGCAGGTTGGCAGGGCGAGCGGCTCCCTTGGGAGTCAGTGCGGAGTGTGAGAGTACTGCAACTTGCAATTAACTAATACAGTTATTGATAATGTACACAGTTGTAGAGAAATCCCTGTTTGTAAGAAAATCAGTGGTCTGCCTGAGCAAGGGCAGCGGCCCACTCCTGGTATCAGACAGACCACTGGAAGACATTACTCAGTGATTACTTCAGGCTTTATACGTGGTGCTATCAAAAAGTTCCCGAAATATGAATTTTGTGAGTGAATGGTTATGAGTACATCGAAATACCGCTAGGTGTCTCCCCACACACCCTTCTTGAATCAGTGTGGTAAGCAGCATTGAGTTGAGTGGTTGGGTTTATTGTCGGTGAACGTATTTCCATTGTTGTGTTTCTGTGAGTTTGCGGTTTTGCAATGGCAGACCTGAGAGAGCAGTGTGTCTGTATAAAGTTTTGTTTTAAACTTGGGAAAATCGCTGCAGAAACGCACTAAATGTTGAAGCAAGCTTTGGTGAAAACAGTTTAGGCCAGACACAAACTTACAACTGGTATAAGCGTTTTAAAAATGGCCGAACACTGACTGATGATGACGATTGTTCGGGATGGCCGTCAACGGGCATAACACCAGAAAATGAAGCGAAAGTTAGGGATCTGATTCTGCAAGATCGTAGACTGACCATCCAAGACCTCTGTAACACCTTGGGACTAAGTTATGGTATATGTCAACGAATTTTGTCAGAGAAACCGAACATGAGGAGGATTGCGGCGAAGTTTGTGCCACAACTGCTGAAAAATGAACAGAAGCAGCATCGCTTGGAAGTCTGCAGGGAACTTCAGCAATAGCTTCAAGAGGATCCAAACTTTCTTTCGAAGGCTGTCACTGGTGACAAAAGTTGGGTTTATGGCTACGACCCTGAAAGGAAGCAGCAACAATCGTCGCAATGGAAGAGCCCTTCTTCACCTCTGCCAAAAAAAGCTTGACAAGTCAAGAACAACATTCAGTCCATGTTGATCTGTTTTTTTTATATTGACGGGATTGTTCTTAAGGAGTTCGTCCCTCCTGGTCAGACAGTCAATAAAGAGTTCTATCGCGATGTTCTAAGGTGTTTGTGGGAGAACATGAGGATAAAACGTCCAGAGAAGTGGCGCATGAACGACTGGGTACTCCACCATGACAACGCACGACCGCATACGGCTTACAGTGTGCAGGAATTTTTGGCTAAAAACAAGATGGCAGTTGTTCCCCACCCACCGTACTCGCCAGACTTAGTCCCATGCGACTTCTTTCTCTTCCCCAAGATGAAAATAAAGTTGAAACGCAGATGGTACTAAACACCCAAACAAAGAAAGACTTCCAAGATGCATTTGAAAAGTGGCAGAAACGCTGGGATCCGTGTATGCGCTCCCAAGGGGACTACTTTGAAGGTGATGGTGCAGAATAAGATCTAAGTAAGACGTAATAGTTTTTATTAATATATTTCGGGAACTTTTGGATAGCACCACGTATAAGGAATACTCTTTTTTCCCCCCGAAATTCCACCTTGACAATAAGAACTCAGGCCTAACTATGTATGTTTCAAGGTCAGATTTATTTTTTTTTTACATTACACAGTACCTGGATGATTTGTGGCTGAGCTGTAGGCTGTTGAATGGCTTGGATTGGAGCTGTCTGAATAATGATTGGCTGGTTTGTTCCACCCTGCATTTGCATTCGAATCATTTGAAGCTGAGACGGAGTCAGCTGAATCTGGAATTAAAGACTGAGTTCTAGGTTAATCTACAAAACACATTGGAGGAAGTGCTGTAGGAGGAAATACCATTCAGAATTTAGATTGGGTTAGTTTTAATTTTAGTATTTTTAGTTTGATTCCAATATGTCTGATGGTAGGATATAACCAATGAAGTTTAGTACCATTTCAAATCATTAATTAATTAAATGAGACAAGAAAAATATATATAAATGGAAAATGTAACCCATATATTGAATTTTATTCTGTGCAAAGTTAGACTAATAGCTGACTTAACTCATGAGCAATAGGTTATGCCACCATTTCACAGGGGGCCATCTCAATGTAAAAACACATGCAACTGCCAGGGCCCATTTATGCAACTCAAGTTTCTTATTTTTTTTCATTTTATCACATTAACAAAATACATTAATTCTATCTTTAGAGACTAAAGTTTTATATCTGGACAATATTTAAATACTGAATTTTTGTATGTATGACTCAACAATCGAATTTATTTTCCACAGCTGTTAATTAAGTTATGTTTTCTCACTGCCAAGTTCTCACTACTTGCCCTTTGTGTAATGGAGTCAACACCATGCACATAGTCTATTATCAAATACTCAATCACTGTACACTTATGTAATACCTGTCTAGTTACTGTTGTAACGTCGATGGCCAAAGTGTTGTCAGGTAACTGACCATTAAACACCTCGCAACAAAATACACACAAGGCAACAATAGAAGTATGGTGTTTTCTATGCAGTTGGTGCTGCAACCGCTGCTATGCAACGCCACAGTAAAGATTCTCTACAACAATATAGTCTGTTTTCTGTGTCAGAACAGATTTCAGTGTTTAAGTATTTCAGTAACAGTCAGAGAGTTCTCGGTGGAAGATAGTCACAGGAAGTTTGTCGTGTGAACACTTCAAGTGTGATTAGACTTTATTCATGTGTAATATTTGGAGTGATTTGAAGCGCTTTGTCCTATGTTTTAATTGCATTACCAAGAGAGGACTTGTGTTTGTGTGTGTTTGTGTGTGTGTGCGCGCACGCGTAATGGTGAATTATGAAGTGTGTAAAACAGCGAGAGTGCTGTTATTTGAGTGTAAATAAAATAAGTTGTAACTGAAGTGCCAATAAATCCAATCATCCAAACTAGAACCTGTCATTCTCGTCATGTGCACCACCCTTAAGGTGACAATATATATTGTTAATGTAGAAGTGAAAGCAATATAGTGTTAATTAGAGTAAAACCACAGTTTTAAACATTTTAAGGGACTGCCTAAAAGAAATGTAAAACTGAGTTTGTGTAAATTCAGGGAAATATGAGTGTTACAACATAAGGAATACTGTAGTCTTTTTTATATAAAAAATTTGGAAAATCACTTAAAATATACATTTTTGAACACTAACAAAGTAATATAATGTAAATTAAAATATGGTTCTTGGCTTATTTTACAATGTTTCATCAACTGCATCTTACACTAGTTAAGATGAAATTTTGACTGTAACTTGTGAATGGAACGGATGTAGGAAGCGGTCATGACCTATTCCAAGGCACTATCCCAGCATATGCCTGAAACGACTGGAATATATGCTGGTACACACCTAGTTATACTGTTTCTTCAACAAGATAGTCTTTTGTTTCTTTTCTTGAGCTCTCAGTCTGTATAATTCATTTTCAACTGCACTGCGCATTACAATAGTATTGTGCCTGGTATCAAACTTATGCATTTACTTTCTGGCTGCTTTCAGTCCTTTCAGTGCATTCAAGAATGTTACTTCATATTCAGCAATTCCCTCTTCTGGTTCTTCTTCTGGCCTAGTCAAATGCTGATCTAACACCTGGTCAACACTCCAGACTCCACAGACTTCAAGAGCATTGTCACATGTTGGGTAGTCCTCAGACTGCACACCAAGAGGTAAAGTAGGCCGCACCATAGCTGAAGCGGTCAGTTACTGGCTTCCCACCACGGTGGCCCGGGTTTGATCCTAGGTCTGGTCAAGTGGGATTTGTGGTGGATAAAGTGGATTACTTCTGTTTCCCCTGCCAGTCTTCATTCCACGAAATTCTCCATCATTATAATCATCCAGGGCAGGCTACAATAGGCAAATCAGTGGCCGTTATGCCTAGTGGACCCAGTTGGAGTCCACCCCCCACTAAGTGAATTAAAAAAAAAAAGAGGTAAAGTGCTAGTCATCCTATTCGTCTTCAGTAACTTCTTCCGCACTGTCATCATTGCTGCTGTTACTGATTACGACATGTTATCAATCTCCAGGCTTCAGCTATGAAATGTGATGCAGACAACATAACCAGCTTCATCTGTGCAACATCTTGGAGCAGTCTCCCGTTTACCATGGCTGAAGTCTTCAAAATCATCTGCCTTCTGTAATGGCATTTTATGCATGGATGATCCCCAAATATAAAAGGCTGTGGCTGGGTGGTATAAGTTAGCTGGGAGAAACAGAAATTTGATGTTGCTGAGAAATGTAGTGTTCTTCAGATGAACAGCACACTGATAAAAGAAATATATTTTGAGATTTTTAGCATCCAGTTTTGTGAAGTAATATTCAGATATTTTGGTTGTCATCCAAGAATTTGTATCAGCTTCATATTTTGTACATAGTCTCCTGACATTCTTGAAGCAACGTGAACTTTTATATTTTCCAATTATTAAAGTGGAAGTTCATCACTAATATCTTCATTGGACATAAGCACAGTAACCCACCATTAGATTTTGTACCACCATGTCTAAATTGTCCTTGCAATAGTCAGTAATTTTTCCAGTCTTCTGCACTTCCTTCGTGAACACTCCTGTTCTCATATGACAGATTTCTGTAAGCAATGTTGTGTATCCTCATAAATGTTCTGACTGAAACATTGGAAGCTGAAAAGTTGGCTATTTCCAGGCAGGCAGAGATATGTAAGCATTTCTCTTGAGGTGGATACCATCTATGGAAGCATTACTCTCACGTACTTGCTTGAACTATGCAGCAAGTGCAGATTCCAGTTCATCCAGTGGTAAGTATTTCAATGTCTACATTGGACAATACTTTTTTTTTCAGTTTCTTCACAGCTCTTTGCAATAGGATTCTGTGTTGGCATTAAACTAAATATATTATCACGATGTTAGTGACTGTGGATGAGGTTTGGATTGGTGATTGGATTCATTATACACAAAACTCATACTACAAGTAATTATAGCACCATCGCTAATCTCCACACTTTATGAATCACTAAAGCACATAGTAAGCATTCGCAGTCAGCTTTCACTCACATCATTACTGTCCAGTGAATATCCCACTTGCTCCAATTGTCCTGCTTATAACATCTCAGCACAGACCATGTAGAAAGCACCGTTTCCAACAGTTCCTTTATTGTTATGTGTGTTTTTGTTGCCATGGGAATATGTTTGTTTGTGAAGGTGTTACTTGGTAACGGTTGCATATATTTGCTTATTAAGAATCTATTACCTAGCAGCAGGCATTGTTTCACTGTTTGTTTTGTGGTTATTTCGTAACAACAAGTCTCTGTATGCTACAATATGTTAACGTCTCATCACTAGAATGCTTGAGGAGAAGCCAATTCTGCAGCTACTCAAGAATTTCCCAGCATTTTATGGAATACAAAGGTTCATCACCGTGTTCACAAGAGCCCTCCACTAGTCCCTATCCTGAGCCAGATCAATCCAATCCATACCATCCCATCCTATCTCTCTAAGATCCACTTTAATATTGTCCACCCACCTACACCTTGGTCTTCCCAGTGGTCTCTTTCCTTCTGGCTTTCCCACCAACATCCTATATGCATTCCTCTTCTCCCCTATTTGTGCTACATATCCTGCCCACCTCATCCTCCTTGACTTGATCATTCTAATTATTTTTGGAGAAGTGTACAAGTTATGAAGCTCCTCATTATTTGTGTGACACAGTTCAAATATTTAGCAACAAGAGTAACAAATCAAAATTTGATTCATGAGGAAATTAAGAGGAGGTTGAATTCAGGCAATGGTCGCTACCATTCAGTCCAGAACCTTTTGTCTCCTTGTCTGCTGTCTAAAAACGTAAAAATCAGAATATACAAAATTTTGTTTTGCCTGTGGTTCTGTATGGGTGTGAAAATTAGTCTCTGATACTAAGGGAGGAACATGGAATGAGGGTGTTCAAGAAGCGGGTGCTAAGGAGAATATTTGTACCGATGAGGGATGAAGTGATAGGAGGTTGAAGAAAAGCACATAAAGAGCTCTGTAACTTGCACTCTACACCAAGTATAATTAGAATGATGAAGTCAAGGAGGATGAGATGAGCAGGGCCAGTAGCACAAATGAGGGAGAAGAGGAATACATATAGGATTCTGGTGGGAAAGAAACCACTTGGAAAACCTAGACATAGGTGAGAAGATAATATGAAAATGGATCTTAGATAGGATGGAGTGGCATGGACTGGATTGATCAGGCTTGGGAGAGGACTAGAGGAGGGATCTTGTAAATATGGCAATGAAACTTCAGGTTCCATAAAATGTTGAGAAATTTTTGAGTAGCTGAACGACTAGTGGCTTCTAAAGAGGGACTCAGCTCTATGGAGTTAGTTGTCTGAAAAATGGAAAACATCTGATCAGTAGTTGACATGTTACAGCAAAACCCACACTGATGATGACCAATAATTTCATCTAAATACAGACTTCAGTGTGAGAGAAGGATATTGGATGAAATTTTGTATGAGGTTGATAACAGCGATATGCCTTAATAATTAAATGTCAGTTTTATCACCTTCTTGTAAAAATGGTACTGCTCAGGCAATTCTTCCTTATTCCAAACTGAATTAATGCATTTATGGGTCTTAGAATGAAATGGCTGACCTACTGCTTGAATCAGTTCTGCTGGGAGTAGATCAATACTTGGCAAATTATCCTTTTTCAACTTTGCAATAGTAATTTCAACCCTCAAAAGGACTAGGCTGAGATGCTAATGGCTCAGCTGTATGTAATTCATTCTGCCTAACATCACTGACCCTATGTACAAGGGTTGCCCAGAAAGTAATACAATATTTTCTTTCTCGCTCACAATTTATTTCATTAAAGCTTGAAATATATCTCATTGCTACCTGATTCTTTGGCTACATACACCTATTTTTCAACATAGTCTCCTTCTAAATCTATGGCCATATGCCACTGAGATATGAGAGCCTGTATGCTTTCATAGTACCACCCTGCAGGTCTCTGTTGCAATCAGCTATTTACTTCAGAAATGACTTCTGCTATCAGTAGCTAAAAGAAGTAATTCTTCCATCTATTCAAAATGTTGTGGGAATCTGCAAGTGGATCACAAGTCTCATTCTTTACAAAGTTACTTCAAGTTTGATAACCCTTGTTCAATTAATTTATTCCTCTATACAGGTCCCTAAAGTTCTTGTTCTTACTGTGTGTTGCAAGATCATTTACAGATATTCCCGCTTTTTATTCCTGAAATGCCTCCTAGCTTACATTGTCTTACGCTGTTCAGATTATCACCATGAATTTGGCTTTGGATTCTGTAACCAATGCAACTTGGCTTGTTTCCTTTGATCCAACTGTTTGGAACATCCTTCACTGCTTCAACTCTTAACAACCTACACTGTCTTTGGTTGAAATGTTTATATTCTCTCTAATAGCTCCCCAAACTCTGTAAATATCCACATCATCACCTACATTTTCCAAAGCTTCAAACCCATCTGATATTGCAATCTGTTACCATTCTTTACCCTCTATCTATCTAATTTGGTTTCTTGAGAGTGAACCTCTCCATATCAAATTTAATCTGCTGTTATAAAAATCAGATTCTTATTAAAGAAATTAAATTCCTCCTTCAATTCACAACTTAAACAAACAAAGAAACATTCCTTTGCAAGTGGATTTTGCAAATGAAAAAACAGGAAAGAACAAGAGGACAGATATAAAAGATGACCAAACCTGACATTTTTCAGTAAAACTGCTATTGATATAACTTCCACACCGACCCATACTTTCAGATTGTCTTCCAATGCTGAAGAAATAGGAAGCCTGTAGTAAGACTGAGAGTGCTGCTTCAGACATTTCAGCAAATGCAAGAGTATAAAAAAGTGAAAATCNTACATACACTTTATGTTGTTTGGAAGCATAAATTCCTCAACAGAGTAAAAGGAGTGTGTAATTAAGTATCTCTTTAGTGCTACTTTAAATTGTCCCTGTTTATCTATAAGAGTTGTGATATTTGGTGGTAGATTGTTGAAGATTTTAATGCCAGTATAATATGCACTCTTCTGGAAACAAGAGAGGCTGGCAACTGGTCTGTGAAGCTGATTTTTATTCCTTGTGTTGACATTGTGTATTGTAGAATTGGTTGGAAAAAATTCTTGGTTTTTTACAATGAAGATCATTAAGGAGAATATGTATTCACATGGGAGAGTTAAGATCTCTAGCCTCTTGAAGATATTTTTACATGATTCTCTTGGTTTAACACCAGCCATTATTCTAACAATTTTCTTTTGTAAGATGAATATCTTTTGGTTGTAAGATGAGTTACCCCAAAAAATTATTCCGTACTTCATTACAGAATGAAAATAGGCAAAATAAATCAATATGACCTTTTATAAATAAAAACTTAGTCCTACTGGACCAAGAAGGATCCATCTGTGTGACAGACTAATGCAATTTTATCAAATTAGCCCATGTTTACACAGTTAGAGATAAAAATAATGAAACAAGACATTTAACACAGTCTATGTTTAAGTGACAGTTATCCAACGGAGAGGCTGCGGATCAAGAATGGCTTAGTTTTTCACCATAAAAGGAAAAAGTATACTGCTTTATGTGCAAATTATTTTCACATACTGATTCCATACTTAAGATTCTGTAACTGGAAGCATGATTTAAAAGCCATTTCAAATCATGAAAATGGACAGGAACAAATGAAATGCATGACAAGTTACTACAGTTGCCTGAAGGTATCTGGACATGTAGACACACAACTGACAATTCAATTTAACAATAATAATTATTATTGTTAAATGAAACTATTGATTATAATCAATAGTGGAGCAGTAATAAAAAGCACTATAGTTTTTTTTAATTGTTTCATTTTGGTCCGTTACACTATCAATCACAAATTGTCAATGAAAAATCCATCGAGTGTAACAATGTTTCTAGGTCACAAGTGAGATAAATAAGTGACCTAGAAACATTGTTACACTCGACGGATTTTTCATTGACAATTAGCACTATAGTCATTAAATTTTAGCATCAACAGGGCTTCCTTTAAGATGGAAGAAACAAAACACTTTCTCAGTATGAAACAGATATTATTTGAGCTTTCTAAAATGGTTTGACAATTTGATATACTTTTGTGAAAACACATTAAAAAGTATGGTAACACAGGAAAGAGAATCCCATTACACTTTTCTGTCATGATTTGTCAACAATTCATAAAATTAATGGGATCGAAAATGTTGGCAGCTACTGTCACAAGTTTATGGCTGCATGATTAATAATACCAAGTTCTGGATTGGATTTACTGCCACCTTCTTTTCCAATCACTCATAATTAAAACCGACTATGACAGCTCACAATCAATCTACTGCCAAGGACTCGCTCCAGTCTCGTTCCCCTGTCTCAATTCTCTTGCAGCTTCTGAACTGACTGAGCATTCTCACATGTCCTCCCATTATAACTTTGGGAAGGACTCAAAAGAAATCACCACCTCCAACAGTTTCTCTATTACTGTGTGCTTGTTCGTTCCTGCAGAAACATGTTTAGTGACCAAACTAGTCGGCAATGGATGTCCTTCTATTGTTGAGAGTGTAACTTTTGGAATGTGTTTATTGAGCCTCTGCCTAGTAATGGTCATGTGTCACAGTATTTTTCAGTATCTGTGGATTCTAACCAAGATGTAATACATGTTGATCAGTTACCATTTTTCTTACAATCAAAGAATACAGTTCCAAAAGGGCGATTTTTGCAGTTTATGCCTACTCAAGGACATAAGCAAATCATCTTGCTGATGATATCTCATTTTTATAAGATAATAACATCTCATTATTGAACTGCAGAGGTCAGTCCCACAATAATGCAGCAATTATATTTGGATTGCCATGGTTAAAGAACAATTATGCTCTTACATACCACATGCAGGACATTCTATGAACTTAGTTGGTGTGCAGGCAGTAGATCACAGCTTGACTGTTACAATTTATTTTGACTTTGTCAGACGTCACAGCTAACAGAACTAGGGAATTATTAACACTGAACAGGAAGCAGTTCAGACCACTAATAGGACACTGCACCCAAAGGGATACCTACTCATAAGGAAACTGGTAAACAGACCCACCTGTGAAATGTCCCATGCATGTCAAATAAGAAAAAGGCTTAAAAATTTTATTTGCCTGTAAGATTCTAGGTCATGTAAGATTTGTTCACCTGGGAACTCACTTTTCTTGAAACCAAGTGACTATTATCTGGGCCCATTAAGCAAGGTACAGTGCTTCTTTTGAGGTGCAGCACTCCTCAAGAGCTAATCTAAGAAAGCAGATATACAACAGATCAGAGGTGGTTGCAGTGTATGGGTCTCTTAAGACCCACTCCCTTAATCTAGACTACTGCTTCGTTTCAAGAGCTGTCATATATTTAGTTAGTTGGTAGGTATTAGTCACTATTTTCATTCATCTTCTTACATAAAATAGTACAGCATGCTACTGATAAAGACTGATACTACTACAGCTGTTATTCAGCTATGAGCAACACAAAGCATGTACCGGAATCTGCTGAATCTCTCCGTTTGGTGTGACTATCTGTTGTACTATCTGGATCCCTCCACCTTGCTGCTGCTGTTGTTGTTGCTGCTGCTGTTGTTGTTGTTGTTGTTGTTGTTGTTGTTGTTGTTGTTGCTGCTGCTGCTGCTGCTGTTGTTGTTGTTGTTGTTGCTGCTGCTGTGCTGCTGCTGCTGCTGCCACCACAGCAGCTTGGTTTGTCTGCTGCAGCTGTATTACCTGTGCTGTATGCTGTGGCTGAGTTGCTGCAGTAGCCTGATGCTGTGTAGACACTGATGCAGTAGTACCACTGCTGGTAGCAGCAGTGCTTGTGGTTGTCTGAAATTGTTACTTTCATGTTACTACAAAAATCTGATGGGTTTATGTTAATTTGCTTCTTACTTTTTTAATATTAATGAAGAAAATCATTGAGGGGCTATGCTACAAGCTGGAAGGTCACGGGTTCAAGTCCCGATGAGGTCATTGGATTTTTTTCAATTAACCTAATCATTCCAGCCGCACTATGGCCCTGGGGTCAACTTGGCCTCTAACAGAAATCAGTACCATGAATTAATTAAATAATTTTCCTGGGGAGTAAAGTGCGGCCGGCATGTAAGGCTGACAACCTTACCGCCATCTATGAGCCGATTGTCTAGATAATGTGAGAGCCTTAACGTCTCACAACTCTATGGGCCTTCACGGCCTGGTACAGGGATAGCTTTACTTTTTTTTTAAATGCCAGCTGACTGTTATGTTAGCCAGTATACTAGCACAATGTTGGAATTTTGACAGTAATGAACTATCTTACATACACTATACATGAACATTTACTTCCATAACTAGAACTCAATTTGTGTCTAACACATCTGTTTTTTACAGATCCTTTTTTTTTCTTTTTCTGATTTTTGTCCCACTGAGTGTTGTGGAATTTCTCAGAACACAAAAATGATGTTATAACACACTGTGTATATTTGGTGGAACAATTCCATCCATAATAGGCAGATGTTCTTGTCCAACAGAATTTTCTGTCCATAGACGTGAAACTCTTAAGAGGGTCCATATTCTGATCCTTACAATGAATATATGCTTTACAACTGAGACAAAGAATTACATGAAAAATAATAGACACATAGAAGTATACTCCTTCCTTAACTTCTTTTTGGTCCATTGTGAGACACATCAGGGTATACAGTTACAGAACTTTGTGAGCCAGAGATGGCTCAAGGTACCACCCTCTAAGTTAGACCCTTGACAATTTATATTAAACATTACAAAATGGAACCTGATTTAGATAAAATTTCTCTCACTGCAGCACGTTTTGTTTACTGTAAGTATTCAATTCATCCATCTGTAAATTCAGTATTAGTGAGATATGTAAAAATAAACTTGCTACTAAGTCAAACTTAAGCTCTTTCTAGGTTCATAAAGTAAGTAAGTAAAAGTATCCCTTTAACAGGCCATGGAGGCCCATAGGGTTGTGAGATGTTGAGGTTCCCACATTTTCTAGACAATCGGCTCATAGATAGTATAGTATAGTATAGTATAGTATTTATTGCATTCAAGCAAATCCAATTACAGGCCAACACCACTGGACACAGAACAAGTCAAATATCTTCAACAAATGCTCCAACAATGGAACTAGTCAACATAAAATATACATAACACTATACCATGTTTAATTGTAAATAAAATAAGTTAAAATTGTGATAAAAACACATTACATAATAAATTCATTCAACTTAGTAGCTTATATATCTCAAACCATAAAAGATCACAACATCCATCAACTATAATGAGGTATGTTTGTTACATGGCATACCAGTCAAGTTGGAGATTATATCTTACATGTTCAATACCAAATAAAACCAGTCAAGGTATAAGCTTGCTATATACAATGCAGGTATCAGTGCAATATCCTTGAATGTACAACTGCACATCCAAACAATGCATGCAATATTGAATGAACATAGTAAATTACTACTCATTTATACAACCAAAATATTCATCCAAAGTATAAAAGGATTTTGAATGTAAAAAGGCATTTAAGGCACTCTAAATACCTTATTATCATGTACTACTTCCTTTATTTTTAATGGGAGACAATTAAAAGGTTTAATTCCATAGCAATAAGGACCCTTCTGATGAACTGTTAAATTTGTCTGAGGGCAATATAAATCTAAACCGCGTCTTGCATTGAGACCATGAATCTGTGTTGATGTATGGAATAGACCCTTATTATTTACAACAAATATCAATAAAGAAAATATATATTGGGACTGGAGTGGCAAAATCCCCCAATCCCTAAATGCTTGTCTACAGGAATCCCTTGCTCTTAGCCCACTCATAATTCTAATTATTCTTTTTTGAATTCTAAAAATTTGTACACTAAACGAGGTATTGCCCCAGAAGATAATTCCATAGGTTAAAAGTGAATGAAAATAACAATAGTAAATCATTTTTAATGTTTCGGTAGGCATGATGGGTTTAATAACCCTCATTGAATAACACGCCTTACACAACTTAGGTATGAGTTGGGATATATGGGCCTTCCAAGTACACGTGCTTTCAACAATTATACCCAAGAACTTCACCTCGGTACTGTTTGGGATCACATTATTGCAATAATTAACCATAACTCCGGTATTAGGACAAGACTTAGCCGCAAATTGTACATGTTTAGTTTTGCTGAAGTTTAGGGTTAGCAGGTTTGACTTGAACCACTCATTAAGGCAGTCAAAAGAGATATTCACATCCCTATTATATTGTAAGTTATTATTGCTACTAATCACCAAACTAGTGTCATCTGCGAATAAGACTGGTTTAACTGTGCTATTAAAAATTGTAGAAAGATCATTTATATAGAAAAGAAATAGAAGCGGACCAAGTATGGACCCTTGAGGGACTCCATGCCTGACAATATCCCAATCTGATCTAATAGTGTTGCTCATTTCAATATCTGTTATTAGTACTCTCTGATGTCGATCTGATAAGTATGATGCAATTAAATCATAAAATCTACCTTGTATCCCATAATATTGTAGTTTACTCAACAATATTTCGTGATTCACACTATCAAACGCCTTCCTCAAGTCACAAAAAACTCCACCTACAACTTTTTGTTTATTTAATGCTTCTAGTATTTCATTGAGTAACACGTAAGAGGCTTTAGCAGTTGAGGATTGACGTCTAAATCCAAATTGCTCATTGACTATTATATTATGATCATGGATATGCTGATTTAATCTAGACAAAACTATCTTCTCAAATATTTTTGAGAAGGAGGTTAAGAGGGAGATGGGCCTATAATTAGATGGATCATTCTCGCAACCGCCTTTGTAACAAGGCTTAATTTCAGCATATTTTAGCCTATCCGGAAATACGCCAGCAGACAACATTTTATTACTAATATATGTTAAAGGAGATATAATAAAGGGGCTACTAATTTTTAACACTTCAACTGATATTTCATCATAGCCATGCGATCTCTTTGTTGTTAAAGATTTAATAATTTTAAATATCTCAGTTGAGGTTGCAGCTTGATATTTTATGCTGGGAAAGGGATGATCAAAAGCTTGCCGCAAGTAATCTAATGGCTTATTGTTTGTTTCAAGACTTTTGTTTATGTTATTCTCAGCCACAGATATGAAAAAACTATTTAAGAAATCTGCTATATATTGCCTATTTTTAGTAATCCGTCCATCAACTTTTAATTCCTGAACTGAATTCACTTTGGCAAACTTCCCAGTTACTGACTTTGTTATATTCCAGATTGTTCTTATTTTGTTACTGGATTTTGATATCTGTCTACTATAATGCTTTTTTTTTTCTTCTCTTATGACATTTTTTAATATCTTGCAATACTGTCTATAATACCTCTTAAAGGCCTCATCGTTATTACTCCTGTATATCAAATATAGATCTCTTTTATGCTTACAGGAATTACTAATACCAGGAGTAATCCACAAGTTACTATTTGTTCTGGTGCTCAACACTTTCAGGGGAAAACTAGAATAGAATATTCTAAGAAATGAACTGAGAAAAGAATTATACATTAAGTTTATATCGTTGGAGCCAAAAACTGAGTCCCAGGTTTCAAGACTCAGTTTATATTCAAAATCCTGTATCATAGCCAGTTCAATTTTCCTTATCCATTTTTTCCCCTTTACCCTGCCATTCTTAGTATGCGTTTTAACCTCTGATAAAATAATTAACTGAGCATCATGGTCGGAAAGCCCATTAAGCAAGGGATATATTACATAGTTACTCTGTAGAGACGCATCAATAAATATGTTGTCTATTGCAGTTGCAGAGCCATTTTGGGATCTTGTCGGAAAATTTACTGTACTTACTAAGTTATACGAAGCTAATAGCAATAATAATAGCTAATTAGCTAATAGATGGGGGCAAGGTTGTCAGATATAGGTTCCAGCCGCCCTTTATTCTTGGTACTCATTTCTGTTAGAGGCTAAGTCGACCCCAGGGCCATATTGCGGCTGGAAGGAATAGGTCAATTGAAAAAAATTCAATGACCTCATCAGGACTTGAACCCACGACCTTCCGGCTTGTAGCATAGTGCCTCAACCAACTATGCTACCACGTGCCCCCTTTTTAGGTTCATATTTAAGATATTTATATGCAAGATGTGTTTCTGAAGACCACATTTCTCTTAAAATGATTTGCCTTGTTAATTAACACTTTCTTCATATCTCATGGAGAATACGAATGTGTCAATAAATTTAATACACTATTACACAAAAATCTGTATCTTTAAACCAAATTTTCGGCCTATGTGATTGTGACTTATATAAATATACCGTACTGAATCTTGCTACAGCACTGGAATTACTTTGTTGGCTGATAATTTTATAATGCTGTAGGGACTGCTAAAGGTTTGCAGCGCTTACAATATAAAAGATAACAGACAAAGCCCATGTGCTTAATTAAGCTCAATACATGGGTGAGTAGACCCAAAAAGTAACCTCATAAATACTAGATGGAGGTCAGTGGTCACCTTCACATCCTGAATGGTTTTCATACCTTTCCTAGAGCCAGTCTGAAGACTATACAGAAAAGAAAAAAATTGTTGCTGCTGAGAATTAGGCCCTAATTCCCCAGCAATCCAGCCTGTAGCCTAGTCAATATACTGACAGAGGCATCCCGACTCCCTTACAATGGTACATCTGAACAATAATGAATATAAATAACGAAAACCATGTACTCACTGTAAATCAGGATAGCCTGTACATTTTCGGGGTAGATGTATTGTCAAGTATATATCAAAAGAATGCCCCATAAATATGGGACAAAAATATTTAATTATTGGTATGTGAGGTCAACAC